CCATCCATCCATCCTTCCATCCATCCATCCTTCCATCCATCCATCCAACCACCCTTCCAACCAGCCAGCCAGCAAGCAAGCAATGGCCCCTTCTATCCACTCAACCATTGTACATGCACCTCTACAGTCATCTGCCCAATCACTCAGCCAAACCTCTGTCTGCCTACCGCACAAAATCAGCATGTGGGTGTGGGTGAAGCTCCACCACCTACCAGTACACCTACCAAACTTCTCTATGCCTCACCTTCTTTACCTGGGAAGTGGGTACATGTACACTCCAACAAGCTTCACGGGGTTGTTATGAGCCTGGAACAACACAATCCATGTCAGTGGTAGCTATGAGATCACACTGTTAACACAGTTTCTACTATTGCAAGATGCCAGAGGCAGGGTGCAGAAATTTATCTGGCAAGGACTCAGCTTATCTCCTAAGAGGTTGACTCTGACAGGTGATCTGGAAAACCAGTTAAACCTGTAGGTAACAGCTGGGGATGAGCAACAGATGTGACCTAAAAAAAAAGGGATAAACAGAGGTGGGGCAGGCAGGCTGCAGTCCCAAGAACAGTAAGTGGGAGGCTTGAGGCATGCAGGTGGTCACCCCAGAATCCAGGAGCTGTCGTTTGGTTGGATGCCTGGCCCCTGCTGGTGCCTCAGGGGAGTGCAGACCCGGCCGGTCAGGAAAGTAGGAAGGCCTGGGGTTCGCTGTCATCCACCTGCTCCCGCGGGGCCGATGCCTACTTTTGAGGAGAATTCTGGATTCAGTCGGCCAGCAGTTCAAACCCCAGCTCCGTCACTTGGTTGTGTGGCCTTGGGCAAGTTGCCTATGTGTTTCAGTCATTTCGTCTGTAGAATGGGGATAAATGGTGAGCATTAAGAAAGTTTGTTCACAAAAAGCAGTTGGCACTGGGTCTGTCACATCCCTGAAGGCGGTAATGACTCCTGAGTGGGGAGGGTAAAAGCTGCTCCCGTCTCTTAGCCTCCCAGACCCCAGAAGTGCAAACGCGGGCCAGCCTCCTCACCCGCCACCTGTCTCCAGAGGCGCCAGTTAACCTGAGCATTTCACCTGGTGCGCTGGTGGCCCACTGCTGCCTAACAGTCACTGTCAACTTCAAACGACACAAATACACAATCCCACCGCTCTGAAGGTTAGACGTCCATGCGGATCTGGCGGGCTCCTCTGCCCTCGGTCTCACACGGCCAAATTCAAGGCGTCAGCCACACTGTCTTCCTTCTGGAGGTTCTAGGAACGAGTCCGCTCCCCAGCCAATTCAGGTTGGTGGCAGAACTGTTGGCTGGTGGGACTGAGGTCCCTGCCTCCCCAAGAGCTGTCGGCTGGGGTCGTTCTGTTTCTGGAGGCCGCCCACGTTCTTGGCCCCCCCTTCGAAGCCAGTGATGGCGGGCAAAGCCCTTCTTGGGATTCAAGCTCTCGGCCCTCCTTCTGGCTCATCTCTCTGACTCTTCCGCCTTCCTCTTTGGCTTTGAAGGGCCCACGCGATTGTACTGGAGGCCTCAGATAATCCAGGACCACCAGTTAAAGTCAGCTGACTCAAAACCTTAATTTCACCTGCAAAGTCCCTTCACAGCAGTGCCCGGATTGTGCCTGGTTGAATAACCCAGGACAGAACCTTCAGACTTCTGCCCACCACCCCGGCCCAGCAGGGCTGTGTTGCCAGCGCCAGTCTTCAACCCCACCTCTGTGGAAGCACAGATGACCAGAACGATGGAGAAGCCCTCACATGGGTGAGGCCCAGTGGGAGCCAGACGTGCAGACAAACACCATGAAAATGGGTGCAGGTAGCCAAGGACGGAGAGTACAAGACTGAGCCCAGGTTTGGGGCGAGTCACTACAATGGTGTGAACCACCTGCTTAGGTCCCACAGGAGATCTGCAGGAGGACGAGAGCCAAACACTAGTCTCTAACTGACCAAGCCAGTGCCTTCACACTGCAGCTCAGGCCCTCTGGAATGATCAACGAAAGACGGTCACCAGGGACCCAGCACAGGCCAAGCCTGGGGTCTGAGATCATTAGGGCCCTTGGTCCCGCCACACTCCAGGCAACTGGGATGAGCAGGAAGGTGAGGTGCTTCCTGCCCACCCAAAGGACAAAACGCCTGCAGAGAGAGGACCCCTTTCTCCCAAGGCCAGTGACTTAACTGCAAATAACAATGCAGGGTATTTTCTGAGATCCTTGCCCCAAAGTGCACCCGGAGGGGCATCCAAACAAGGGCAAAATCATAAACTGACAGAGATCTGCTCTCTCTGCAAAGATGGTCTGGACTGCTGGTTCTCCAGCCGAGTCAGTGTCGCGTGCGCATGCTGTACAGAGATCACCCAGAGGCCCTTTAAGTGCACATTCCTGGGCCCTACCCACCATTCAGATCCCAGGAGAGAGACTCAAGAACCTGCTCCCCTGGGGCCTCAGAGGCAGGGCTGGGCTGAGCACTTTGGGAGAGAAAACCTCTGCTGGAGGAAGGGTGGGAGGTGAGGGGGAGGGTGTGGGGGGAGGGGCGGAGGGCTGAGACAGGCCAGCCCCAAGGGCTTTGACCTCACCAAAATGCCTCTGGCAGCAAAAAAGCAGAATGACAGACTGCAGTAGATCAAACCTGGGCTCAGACTCCCTCTGCACACCTACTAGGAAAGTTAAGGATGTAGGAAAATGTTGGGGTTCAGAGCCCACAGCCGAGAAAGACTTCTTGAGACGTCTTTGGTGCGCAAAGGTGGTTTTATTAAAGCACAGGGGACAGCGACCCTGGGCAGAAGGAGCTGTACTGGGGTCAGGAGGAGTGGCCTGTTTTACACTTTCGAGTTGGGAGGGGTTAGGGACAGTGTAAGTCTCTAAGGAATTTTGGAAGCAAGGTTTCCAGGATCTTGAGGAGGCCGGCTATTGTTAGAAAAGGTCATTTATTACTGTCAAGTGAAATTCTAGTCAAGAGACCCTTTAGATGGGGCTCCTGGGTGGCTCAGTCGGTTAAGCATCTGCCTTCGGCTCAGGTCATGGTCCCAGGGTCCTGGGATTGAGCCCTGCATTGGGCTCCCTGCCCCACGGGAGTCGGCCTCTCCCTCTCCCACCCCCCAACAATACCCGGCCTCCTCAAATAAAAAGAATCTAAAAAAAAAAAAAAAGTGTATCAGGGGGCCATATGCTTGGGGGATGATTGCTAACATGTATCCTGGGGGGGTTGAGAAAAAGGAAGTTTCCAAAGGAATCTCTCTGTTTAGACTCACAGGATCCTGGGGGGTTGGGATAGTGTTAAGCTGAGATTGCCTTTTGCCCTTAGCAGAGTGTCTGGTGAGGCAGCTGAGCTCCCAGAGGAAGCCCCCTTGTTTCCCACATCAGTTACCAGCCACTCTGGAGCCTCAGTTTCCCCATCTGTAAAATGGGAGTGAAGGTGGGGGGTCAACAACATGCACTCTGCTAGGCGAGGCTGTAGGTGAATATGCCCCCTGGGGGCGGACAGGAAGAGGGGGGGTTTCGGGGGTGGGGGTGGTAGCGGGCAGGGAGAGGGGGAGCTCCGGAGCTCCGGGCGGGCAGGGAGAGGGCGAGGTCAGGCCGTGACCGCCCCCGCAGCACCCCCGCCCGCCGCGGGCCCCTTCCTGGCACGGCAGCAGGAAGGGGCGGTGGGGCGAGCGACGGAGGGCAGGTGCGTCCGATTCCCCGGCGGCCCGGGCACGCAGGGCTGTCCCCGGAGCTCCGCCCCCGGAGTCCGGGAGTCTCGCCCCCGGGGCCCCGCCCCCCCCCCCCCCCCCCCCGCCTCGGCCTCGTTCCCCGGCGCCCGCAGCCAGTCTGCGGGCCGAGCCGCCGCGATGTGGGTCGTGTTGCCGCTGCTGTGCGCGGCCGCGGGGCTCCTGGGACCCCCGGCCTGCGGAGCTACCGACCTCTACGCGAGCTCCTTAGGTACGGGGAGGGGGCGCCGCGGGAAAAGGGCCTCGCAGGGCCGGCTGGGTCCTCGGAGGACTGCGGGGTGGGGGGCACCTGGCTGGGGGCAGCGGGACAGGGCCTTTCCGCGGCCCCGGGACCAGGGCCTCTGCGCGTGGGGACCCGGGAGGGGTGAACTGCGTTATGGGAGGGGCCGGGAGGAGGGGGAGGTCTCAGAGGGCGTCTTGCGTGACCAGAGGAGCGGTGGGCTGGGGGTCCAGGGTTTCCCTGGCGCAGGCCGCTGAAGGGCTTGGAATGCCAGAGAAGCCCGCAGCCCCCGTGCGTCCACGCCCAGCCCTGGGGGCATAGAGGACTTCGATGGCCCCTGCCAGTGTGAGCAGGGGCTTTCCAGCCTTTCTGGTAACTTCCCGGGGATCCCCATGGGCGCCTTGAGAGTCTTTCTGTAAAATGGGTTGGCTGGACTGTGGCCACAGCGACATCTGTTCTAAGCCCTGAAACCCGAGGGTGTCTCTCCAAGGTGTCGGACACCAGGAGTCCCCTGTAGGCCACGTGCGCTGTGCCGGGTCCAGCTGCGCTGTTCTTGCAGCCCTTCCCCTGCTGGGGGTCTAGGCACCTCCCCAGGCTGGAGGCCCTTCCCTGTGGGTCTTCCTGCTTCCCTGCTGCGGCCCACCCTCAGCCCACCACCTGCAGGCTCTGAGCTCACAAGACCACCTGCCCTACTCACCCTGGGCACAGAGAAGGGTTGTCGGAGAACAGCCTGGAGACAGGATGAAGGTCCCTGAGGCTCAGAATCTGCTCACTCTTCTCTGCTCATTTGTACAAGAAGGGCCCCCAGTCTCGCAGACCTGGGGGCCGGGAGCGGGGCAGCTTCGGGCCATCCCCCACCTAAGAAAGGCCTAGTGCCCCGGGGCTTTGCTTCACCCCGCCTGTGTTGGCGCCGAGTCCATCCCAGCTCCAGAGCAGGGCTCCGTAAGCTTCTTCGGTCAAGGGCCAGATGGTAAATATCGTGGGTCACACCCTGTGTGCAGCAACTCCTTAACTGGCCCTTGAGAACAGCCAGAGTATGCAAATGAATGAACCTCACCGTGTTCCCGTAAACTTTTATTTATGCACACTGAAATTTGAATGCAGATGGTTCGTCTTACAAAATGTTATATATTTTTTTCACTCATTTGAAAGTATAAAAAAAAAAAAACATTTTTCAGTTTGCCATCATTTGCTGACGCCTGTTCTCCGGGCTGCCCACACAGTCCCCTAGACAGGGCATACATAAATGTACTTCTCCCAGAAGTCACAGTGGATTTGAAATGGGTCTGTCTGAGGTTGGGGCCGTGGGCTCAGCAGCAGATCCTTCTGGCCCAGCTCAAGAGCATCTCTAGCTTTTTCTTCCACTGACCTCCTGTGAATGAGAAATAGCCTGGGCTTGTCATGCCTGCATGTCGCTTTTGAAATATCCCAGAGGTGAAGGCCAGTGGGTTGTCCTGAACTCTCTCCTGCCTGAAATCCTGCTGGGTTGAGGTCTGTCTTCCTCTGAAGCCATCCCACTGCAGCAGGGCCCTGTAACCAGGATTGGGGATCCTACAGTCTTCGCAGGATTGTCCCGGGGAAACGGGCATTTCTTCCCCAGGGAAAATGGCTGTAGCTTGGTTCCTAGGATAGATGTGTGCCCCACAAAGGGAAATCAGAATGCTGAGCAGCATGATCTCCAGCCTGGGGAGTGGGAGGAGTCCCTGGAGAAACACAAAGAAATTCCAAGTGACCGTGGGCACGGAGAGGGGATCCGTGTCCAGCCCCTTTACAAACATCCTCTTTGCCAAAACCAATCTGTGCCTCTCATTCCTCCTGAATCTGAATTTGTGGTTCTCAACACATCAGGAGCAGCAAGAGAGAGACGGTAACAAATCTTCTTCAAAACTGTTGGTTCTTCAAGGAAACTGAAATTGAAGAAGAGAGGACCTCACCGAGGTATCAGCTGATGGGGTCTTAGCGCGTCATGTGATTGAGGCGTAGGAATGGAGAAACCTTGCTCTAAAAATTGCCTTCTTTTCCCCGAAGCAATAAGTAATTAGGGATTTGCTTATTTAGCAGGATTTCTGAGTCTTTTGACCTATTAAAAAACAAAGACCAGGGGCATCTGGGTGGTTCAGTCAGCTGAGTGTCTGCCTTCAGCTCAGGTCATGGTCCCAGGGTCCTGGGATCGAGCCCCGCGTCAGGCTCCTTGCTCCGCGGGAAGCCTGCTTCTCCCTCTGCCACTCCTCTCCCCACCACCCCGCTCGTACATGCATGCTCACTTGTGCTCTCTCTCTCTCTCTCTCTCAAATAAATAAAATCTAAAAAAAAACAAACGAACAAAGACCAGAATTAATGCTGACCCCTTAAAAAAAATAAAAAGGAAATATTCACCCATGAATTTATAAGTCCATGAGGGGGTTTTAGTTAGTAAAGTCCTGTTGATCTCATTAAGAGATGCATTTCTTTTCTCTTTTTTTTTGAAGATTTTATTTATTTATTTGACAGAGAGAGACACAGCGAGAGAGGGAACACAAGCAGGGGGAGTGGACCATGACCTGAGCTGAAGGCAGACACTTAACGACTGAGCCACCCAGGCGCCCCTTCTTTTTTCTTTTTTAAAAGATTTATTTATTTATTTTAGAGGGAGAGCATGGAGGGGAGGGCGGGCAGAGGCAGAGGGAAAGAGAATCCCAAGCTGACTCCACGCTGAGCAGAGAGTCTGACGTGGACCTTGATCCCACGACCCTGAGATCAGGACCTGAGCCAAAACCGAGAGTCAGACCCTTAACCGACAGAGCCCCCCAGGCGCCCCAAGTGATGCATTTCTGGTACAAGTTTACTTTTTATGTTTGACAATTACTTTTCATAATGTATAATATATTTGAAATATTTTAATCAGTTGGGGTGTTGATGAGGAGTAGTCAATTCAGAATAAATTCATACAGTGTTCAGAGATGTGTGAGTCACGGGAAGCAAAAGTAATTTCAGTGTATACTTTTTGTCCTTGTGGCTGCATCAAAGGATGGTAGGGCATCCAGTGTAAACATACGCTTCCTTATGTGCGTCTTACTGACGGCGGGCATCAAATCAGATGGTACGCGGATTCCCTCAGCTAGCTTTAAAAGAAGGATGTGGCAGTCTTATTTTAAAATGACAATATTTAGGGGGCGCCTGACTGGCTCACTCCGTAGAACGTGTGACTCTTACTAATCTCAGGATCGTGAGTTCAAGCCCCATGGTGGGCGTGGAGCCTACTTAAAATTTTTTTAAAAATTAAAATGACAGTATTTCCAATAAGCTGGAATACATTCTTTGTGGTTGTTTAAATTTAGGATGAAATTTTAGGTAATTCAGACACACACAAGGGCAGGTAACCGGGGGAGTCCTTCCACAAATAGCAGGCCAGCCTGCTTCTGTGCCCCAAGTCGGCTGGGGCAGAGGGCACCAGACACGGCCAAGTCCAAGGTACTTGTTAGCTGTCCCTTGAAGAAAAAATATGCTGACCCTCGGGGTATAGGTTTTTTAACTAACTGCGTGTTGAAATATATCGTACAGTAAAGTACACAAGTCATTAAATCACGTTTCTTTGAATTTCCACAATCCACGTGCCGTTGTATGAGCAGAAGCAGGTGCAGACGCCCGCCCTGGGGACATCCCGTGTCCCGACTGTCAGGAGTTACCTTAGTTGCCGCCACCCCTGCGGGACGAGCTGGACTTCTGCATTCTGCACACCATTTTTGGTGCCTTCAGTGTCACCTAGTTTCCTGAAATGCAAATCGGCTCCCAAGTGCCCTGCTTGGCCAAAGGTTCCACTTCCTGGCCAGGCGCCCCGGCCTCATTTCTTTCTTTCTTTTTTTTTTCTTTTTACAGAGAAAGTTCACTTCAAGTCATGGATGGTGCAGGTCAGTGCTCACCTTCTCCCTGAAGCTTTTCGTTCCTCTGTTGCCTGTTACCTGACCCGACTGTGCCAGATTGGAGGCAATGGGAAAGGCTCTTCCCAGCCCACACCCCTGGGTCCTTCGGGACTGGGAATTGGCCAAAGTGGGAAAGATCCGGTTAGGTCCACGCCTTCCAGACAGTTGTCCCCAGCGGTGAAGGTGGCTGGCGGCCTTCCAGCCTTGGGACCCGCGTCCGTATTTTGTGTTCAGGGACATTGCGTGTTGGCCGCAAAATTAATTGGAGAACTCTACTGCACATGCTTTTGCAAAAGGGTGATTTTTGCCAGAGACGGGAGCCAGCCCCCGCCGTGGCGTCCGTGGAGGGCCTGCACTTGGCGTGTGTCTTCACCAGGGCCTGTGGGATGCTGGCTGATTTCGGGCAGCTGCGAGGCTTTGGGCTGCCCTCAGGTCCCTGGAGGCCCGGCGTGTGCTTTGTAACCTCCTGACTTTCACAGCTGAGACGCGCAACAGTGTCCTGCCTCCTAACGCGGCTTTGGCTCCAGACCTGTGCTGGAAGGAAGACCTCCGTCCCTCCTCTTAGAAAACAGACTGTCTCCTTCTGGTGAGCTGCATCTTGCTTCCGTGACTTACCGCTGATGTGTTTTGTTTTAGCACCAAAAGAAATACAGCTCAGAGGAATACCACCACAGGCTGCAGACGTTTGTCGGCAACTGGAGGAAGATAAATGCCCACAACGCTGGGAACCACACATTTAAAAGTACCGTGGGCTTGCCCTTCCTCCAGGCTCCTCGCGGCCGCGTCTCAGAAACCAGTGATGACTGAAGGCCCACCGGGGACTTAGGGTGGAGGGATGGTCAGAGCGCAGGGCCCGAAGCCGTACTGAGCTGACCTCAGGTTCTGGCTCTGCTGTTATTCTCAGAGATTCAGTGAAGCTCGGGGCCGGTGGCTGGCTGGGTGGTCGCAGAGTTTACGGGAGACCCTGTACAAGTCCCACCTGTTCCTTGCCAGCCCAAGGTCTGTCCCGGACGCCGAGCCCTGCCCTTGGACTGCTGCTGGGTGGCAGAAACGGGCTCTGCCCTCAGACACACACGCAGCGTCAGCCACGTTGTGAATGTGGGCAACAGGCATAGATGGGGGGAAGTGGTGCTTGAATCTCCTTTGTGCCCAGCACTCTGTGGGACCATGAGGGGGCCGACGAGCGTCTCACGTTCTACCCGGCTGTCATGGGGAGATGCGAACCCTCCCCGCCCCGGGACAATGTGGGGCCCGGAGGGGGTGCAGGTGGGAATGCACCTGGGCAGGTGTCGATGCTCCTCGCTGGGACCCCCACCGGACTCTCTGGGGGGGGTCTACATGCTGGGTGCCCGGGCCCCACCACACGCTACCTGCACCCACAACCCCGCCATGCAGCCCAGACGTGGGTAGCTCTGAAGCCCAGAGAATGTTGACCTTGGTATATTCAGTTAAATTACATTTAAAACCTAAAAAGAAGCCAGTTGCTGCAGCTAGAAATAGGACCCAGCTTAACTTGGGGTTTCTTGGTTTTTTTCTGTTTCTTTATATGACTGTCTTATTGAGCATCTCTTTTTTCTTTGGGTTTTTTTGTTTTTCCTTCTCTTTTTCAGTGGGGCTGAACCAGTTTTCGGACATGAGCTTTGCTGAAATAAAACGCAAGTATCTTTGGTCGGAGCCTCAGGTAAGTGTCGTTCCTTGTGACCAATCTGACTTCCCACTCAGGCCTTTGGAATAAGTTCAGAGTCCGGCTCGGCTCCCAGCCAGACGGCTCCCCACCCAGCTTCGGGGGGCCGCAGGTTCCTGGGGAGTCAGGCGGCCCCCAGCAGTTCCTCAGTCCACGCCCCTGGCCTCAGCCACGTGGGCCCCGAACTTAGGGCTGCCAGAGGAAACACAGATGCGCAGTTAAAACAATTTCAGAAATAAAACTGAATTTCAGGTAAATAACACCTAGCCTTTCATGAGCTAGGTGTTATCCATCATGAATGGATAATTCATAATCCATCATGAATACCGGGCAGGACATACTTACGCTATAGTTACTCCTCGTTTATATGAAGTTAAAATTGAACTATGGGAACTGTATTTTTATTGGTTAAATCTGGCTCCCTGGTCCTCGCCGCCCCCCTCCCCCGGTGCTCCCAGGGGGACAGGTCATCCGGCATTTGGACCAGCAAGTGGGGGCAGGACGGTTCTTACAGAGATGGTCTTTCTCATGCTCTCTTGGTGATTCTGTTTTAATTGCACACTTTTCTATCAAAAAGGTTTTTTGTTCTCCTGAAAGAATTGTATTTGGTCCTTCCAGAATTGCTCAGCCACCAAAGGTAACTACCTTCGAGGGACTGGTCCCTACCCGCCCTTTGTGGACTGGAGGAAAAAAGGGAAGTTTGTGTCACCGGTGAAAAATCAGGTATGGGCAGCCACCCGCATCCTTTGTCCCTAAAATAGCCTCATTGGCAGACAATACACCAGGAAGAGAAACTCAGAAGGAGCCCTGAACTGTGGCAGGTGTATCCCCAGCTCTACTTTTCCTCATCCTCCCTCCAGCTGCGTTCCTCTGAAAGGCTGGGAGGTTATGAGGTCCGTGGGCTGCTCTGGAGGAAGAAACGGTCCCTCTTTATTGGACTGCAGTTCACCTGCACCCCTGCCCGGAGTTGCCACTGGCCCCGGCCTCAGAGTCGCCCGAAACGTCATATTCCCTATGCCCTGAGAGATGGGACAGCGGGGCCCCCGCTCTGCAGGGCCCGGCCCAGCCGCTTTCCCTCCGGGTGGTGGCGGGAGCTCAGCGGGCAGCGGTGCCAGGCTCCGGACGCACTCTGGCCGCGGGGAACAGTGTGTGTCCCGCGTTCTGCACCCACAGGGCTGCGGACCGGGCGGCTGGCTCTGTGCCGGAGGGTCTGAGCCCGCCCCCTGCTGTCTCCTCTGCCTACTGTGTTCCTCCCTCCAGAAGGATGTCACCCTCTTACCTCCAGAAAATGGGGGGAAAGTTACCCTCCTGGAGACACTGGCCTTCCCACTGAAAGTCTCCCTGAGAAACATGTTCTCCTTGTCCTTCAAGCCGGGGGGGGCACGGCATCCTCTCCTCCCAGGCTCGGGGTTCCCGGAGCCTGCGAGAGATCTGGACACTTACCCCAGCACCCAGGAGCCAGAGTGACTTCCCCTCCCAGCACCAGGGGCAGAACAAAGCCGCGCTCTCCCCTACCACCCAGACGCAGTTTTTAGACCATCTAAGAATCCCAGGACAGTTGGGGCCCCTGGGTGGCTCCGTCGTTAAGCGTCTGCCTTCGGCTCAGGTCATGATCCCAGGGTCCTGGGATCGAGCCCCGCATGGGGCTCCCTGCTCGGCGAGAAGCCTGCTTCTCCCTCTGCCCACTCCCCCTGCTTGTGTTCCCTCTCTCGCTGTCTCTCTCTGTAAAAAAAAAAAAATTTTAAAAAAAAAAAGATTTTATTTATTTGAGAGAGAGAGAATCCCAAGCAGATTCCTGCTGAGTGCAGGGCCCGATGTCACGACCCTGAGATCATGAGCTGAGCTGAAACCATGAGTCGGCCACCTAGTCGACCGAGCCGGCCAAGCGCCCCAAGAATCCCATGACAGTTTAAAGCAGCGGGTTTTCAGTGTGGAAGCCTGAACATGCTCACTGTTGGGCAGGTAGGCAGAGACATCCGTCAGGCAGACTGGGCCGCCTGGCTGTGGGGGCTGGACGGAGGCGGTCACCCGTAGGCTCGTGGCATCTCGCCGTGGCCACTGTGTGATGTAGACGCAGCAGCAGGATCTAACGTTAGCTCGGCCACCCCTCGAGGGCTTCCCACTTCACAGAGGAGCAAACAAGGGTGAGGGGCTGGCCCGGCGGCCAGGTAGACGGGGGACACAGGCAACTCCAGAGCAGGTCTCCGCTCCCAGTCCAGCGCCCACGGCTCGGCCTGCTCTGCCGCCTTCAGCCGGGCCAGGCCCAAGCCTTGACCGGCCAGAGACGCTCACACAGGGTTGTCCCTGTACTGACGGAAGGATGTGGGACAGAGACCAGGAGGGAGGCCAGCAAGCCGAGAGGACTGACCTGAGGGCAGGGAAGGGGGTGGGTGGTGAGAGGGATTCGGGAGGCAGAACCGTCCGGCGAAGAGACAGATGAGCCAGCAGGACCACATCTGCACCTCTGACGGCCCTGGGAGTCAGGCACGAGGCCCCGTTTTCCAGATGATGGAGCGGAGGTTGAGTGGCGGGAAGTGACCCCCTGGCTCTCACAGTGGGCACGTGGCAGAGCCGGGACTGGAACCGGGCAGGCAGGCGGGCAGGCTCCGGCGCCCGACCCTCGCGTCCGGAGCCTGGCCCGTGACTGTGGCAGGAGGTGGGGCGAGCCCAGCAGAGGCAGGTGTCTGGGCCCGGATGGAGGTCAGGGCTGGTGCCAGGCTTGAGGAGTTGCTAGTTTAAGTGGGAGGACTGTGGGTGGAATGAGGTTGGGGGGGCGGTGGCAGAGAAGGTTCTGGAAACAAGACTTGAGTGAGTCCTTCTGAGAAACTCTGGGGAGAAGAGGAGCCGGCATAAGATCCAGACGCAGAGGGAAAGCCAGCAACACACAGAATGGCCGGTGGGTTTGGTCTGCGAGGGGCCGGGATTGGGCGGGCGCTGGTGAGCCTGGTGAGGCTGGTCGCCTCAGTGGGCGACGTGGAGGACCCTAGCCACACAGGGCCCGCAAGGGTCAGCATGGATGGGAGCCTGGGGTTCTCCCGGGCCTGGGTCCTGGGGTCTCCGTGACCGACCCCCAACCCTGGCCTCTGTAGGGCGGCTGCGGCAGCTGCTGGACCTTCTCCACCACGGGGGCCCTGGAGTCCGCCATCGCCATCAAAAGTGGGAAGCTGCTGTCTTTGGTAAGCAGTCTGCCGCGGGGGTCACCTCCCGAGGTCACAGCTTCGCCCCAAGGCCTGACGGGGGGGCCAGGGGGGCTTCAGGTGGGGGTGCTGTTTCCCTGGACATCAGGCGCCCCAGCCTCATGGACATTTGGCCTGCGAAACCGGACGCCCGTTTTCCTAGAAAGAAACACGGCTTGTTGAGGAGGCAGCCCAGGGCTCTTCCCGGTGCGTCCCGCTGGTCCTTGTTTGGCACCCGAGGCCTTTGGAGAGCGGAGCTGGGGGGGCAGGCCTCTAGGAGCTGTGCCCTGCCCAGGCCTCCCCGAGAGAGGGCCAGGGCCTGTGTGTCCAGCCGCTGACCCCAGGGCGAGGGGCGAGGGCGGTTGAGGGCCTCGAGGGGAGGCAGAGCAGGGTCCGCAGCGGGCCTGGGTGGCGTCCAGCCCCGCTCTGCACCCCGTGCCTTCTTGCAGGCAGAACAGCAGCTAGTGGACTGCGCCCAGAACTTCAACAATCACGGCTGCCAAGGGTACGGCCCTGACTGCGCGTGGGCCCGGAGCCCCCCTCCCTCCCCACGATGGCTTCTGTCCCGCCCAGCACAGCCCCACCCCACGCGCTGTCACGAACGGGACGGTCACCTCACATGCCTGGGGTCCCTCGGCCAGAACAGGGCCCTACCTCCACAGTGTCCCCCAGCCCTCTCCCCCCCGTGCACGTGGCTCCATTAGCCCCCGAGGCCAGCGGCCAGGTCGCCATATGGGTCTGGCTGGCCTTCCCGCACCGAGGGAGCTCCAAGCCGCCCAGCTTGGCCGGCTGTGAGGGACCCTCTACGAGGTGACGTGCTCGGGCCTGAAGGCTGTGTCTTTATTGGACCTGCTTTCCTGGCCCCTTCCTAGAATGGTCGCCGGGGATTTATCTGCTCGTGTGCCTCGAGTCCGGGGTAGCTGTCCTGGCACTGGCATGCGTCCAGCCCGGCCCCCTTCCCCCCGTGGCCTAGGCGGGCTCCACCTGCTCGGGGGGAGCTGACCCCACGTATCAGGGGAGTCTGTGTGCTCTAGCTCTGTGAGCACCTGGCTGGGCCCTGGGGGTACAGCAGCCAGTGCAGCACGAGGGGCTGATGTTCTAGCTGGTGAGACTGGAAACAGTGTGCCGTGAGTCGGGGTGCCGGGGAGGGGGAGCGGGAGGGCCGGGGTTGCCGGGAGCCGTGGCTGGACGGCCGTGCGTGGATCCTGGGCAAGCGGTTCAGCCTTTCTGAACCCCAGGAAATGACCGCATCGGCCCCACAGGGTGGGTGTGAGGGGTCGGCAGTCAAGTTTGTCAAGCGCCTGCCAGTCGGGGCCCAGTGGTGGCCAATCCCTGGCGCTGGGCGGGTCCCTTCCGCTGTCCTGACGAGGGGCCTGGCCCGGGGTCCCTGATGCACATGCAGCTGTCTGTGGACTCCAGGCGTCTCTCCCGAGTCTGTCGAGCGCGGTCCTGGGGCCAGGCAGGTGGGGCGGCTCCACTAGCCCCTCCCGGACCCCAGAGAGCTTTTCTGCCGCCGGGCCGTGGCCCTGGTCAAGGCCTCCAGCTCTGCAGGCGCCACCTGGGCTGGTGCAGGTGGGCATCTCTGCATGTGCTTCTTGCAGGGGCCTCCCCAGCCAGGCCTTCGAGTACATCCGCTACAACAAGGGCATCATGGGTGAAGACAGCTACCCCTACAAGGGCCAGGTAATCCCGGTCTCGGCCCGCAGTCCGCCTCAGCCTCGGGGAACACCGTCTTCCCCTTGAGCTGCAGCAGGGCCCCTCCCACCAGAATCATGTACACTCACCAAGTTCATCCCTTCACCTCCTCGGCTTGCCCGAGCCCAGCGCCCTCACCAGACCCGCGGCCTCCGGCCCGGTCTCTGGCAGCCCCCCCCCGACCCCCCACAGTTCCCGTTCCCCCGGGTCCTCCCTGCCCGCCGAGTCACCGGGGCGCCAGCCTCCACTGCCCTTCCCGCCTGTCAGCACCGGCCGTGCGGTCACTCTCATGCTGACCACGCTCTCCAGCACCTGCACCCGCTCTGCCCCGGGCCTGCTGCCGCCTCACCCCGGCCCGTCCACGGCCCTGTCTTTCCCCCCAAACCTGTGGCTCCACCAGCATTTCCCCTCACTGATGACTAACACCAGTCCTCCCAAAACCTGCTGGCCACTGGCGGGCTGACCACTCCAGACCCGACCCTCACTTGAGTTCTGCCTGCCAGCCATGAGAGACCCCACACCGCTCCTGCGGTCCGTCCATGACCCTGTCTCCGTCCAGCTGTCCTGGGGCCGCCAGGTGGTCTCCCAGACCTCGCTCTGACCACCCACCTGCCTTGTGTGGCCCCTCGTAAACCTCAGGCTCCGGCCCAACCGCTTGCTGGCTCCCAAACACCACGCGGTGCCTCTCGCCATCCCCACCTTCTGCCCTGTCTCGGGAGAGCGCGCTCTTTCCCATGTGACCTGCTGCTGGGCCTGCCTTGTGTCCGCGAACCTGTGCGCACCGGGACTGGCGCTCCCCGCCCCCGCCAGGCAGGCTCCTGCCCACCTGCAGTCCTCGCCAGGTCCCCCAGGCTCCGTGAGCCCACCTCCGTGGGAGCCAGCGCTGGGCCGGGTCGCCCCTGTGAGCTCCTGGAGGACAGGGATGCCTCTGACCCCCGACCTGAGTGACCCCCATCGCCCGGCCCCTGCGCTCGGAGCTTCGGCTGCACAGACGCCAGCAGGCGGCACAGGGGAGGCCTGAAGTCTCAGCCTGGGGCCAGGCCCCCCTGAGTCGAGCTCCACACCCTCTGCTGCCCTGAACAGGACGGGGACTGCAAGTTCCAGCCCAGCAAGGCCATCGCTTTCGTGAAGGATGTGGCCAACATCACCATCGTGAGTAGCGACCCTTCTCTCCAATGGGCAGGGTGTTCTCGCCAGGAGGCCGCGTCCACCACGGTCGGCTGGGCAGTGGGCGCAGCAGCCGTCCTGGTGGCATATCCCTGAGACTAGAAAGCCTTGATGATCGTGGTGCCCCAGTCTCGGTGTCTGCAGGAGGGGGGGTCGGGTTGTGGGACGAGCATCAGGCACTCAGGCTCTGACCTGGGTCTGGGCCGGGCTCCAGTCTGGTCTGTTTTCTCCTTTGTAAAATGCAAGCAGTAATCCCCTTCCCGCGGGGGAGGGCATGACCGCACGAGTGACGTCAGCGTGTGAGAGATTGAATGCAAATTCATCGGGTCGGGATGCGCCAGCATTGTTTGCGGCAGCAAACAACCCCGAAGTGTGGAGTTTGTGTCTCCCGCGGGGCGCGGCTTGTCGGCGTGGCGCGGCCGCACTCCTGGAGGCTGGCTTCCATCCAGGACGCAGGCAGAGGGACAGAGTGGTCGACTTTGCTGGCTTTGTGGGGGCAGGGCAGGGGGAGTCCCAGGGGGGCTGGAGGGGGACCGCCGCGAATGGCCGTAAGGGACCCAGTGAGCCGGTCCGCCTGCACCCACAGCCCCTACTGTACGGTGGGGTGTCCCTGGGAAGACAGGGCCCACAGACCAGACCAGCCAAGTGGGGGAGCTCACGGGGGAGCCAGGGTTTCGGAGGAGGGACCCATAAGCCAAATAAGAGACCCAGAGGAGCCCGGCCGTTCCACACAGCCCCAGCATCTGCTGTGAGGAGGGGGCAGCCTGCCCCTCGGTGGCTGTTTGGCCTGACACAGCCTTCCCTTCCTTCCTTCCGGACACCCGCACCACCCCGGGCGCCCATCCCTGCCTCGGGGCAAAGGGCTGTATTTGGGAAGGGGGGCAGAGAGACGACAGAGTGTGTGTCCACAGAATGACGAGGAGGCGATGGTAGAAGCCGTGGCCCTGTACAACCCTGTGAGCTTCGCCTTCGAGGTCACCAGCGACTTCATGATGTACAGGAAAGGTGTCTACTCCAGGTGAGCCAGGGTCCCCGCAGGGACAGGGGCCGGGCGGTGTCCCCGTGGCAGGCAGGGCTGGCCCCCCACACACCCCGCGTTGACCCTGCGGCCGTCGGGGAGGGCAGATCCAGTCCGAGGGCAGCAGCGGCCTCCAGTTCCGAAAACCCAGTTCCGAGTGGGAGGACGAAGGAGCTGCTCTCAGGATCCGGGAATGGGGGCTTCCCCACCGAGCTGTTCTGGAACAGGCTCTCCTCACCCTTGCCGCCGGACACTCGCCTGCCCTGCGTCGTGAGCAGGCCCGAGTCCCAGGGCCGTCCTGCCCTCTCGAGCTGTGGCCGCGGAGACCTCAGATCCAGCACGTGTCCTCCCCATCCCCGTGCTGCCCGAGACCCTGCCGCCCAGAAATGCACGCTCACCCGTGTGTCCTTGTGCAGTCCCCACCAGTCTGTACCTTACGCGGCCAGGATCCACCTCCTGGAGCGCTCCCTGGGCGCACCAGCCTCAGCGGCGCCAGTGTCCCCCGCCCCCCAGGGTTCGGGGTCAGCTGGGCTGGGGGACCCTGGTGATCTGGGCCCACTGCCCACCGCAGCCACACTGAGGGGCCTTCCCAGGGACCCCCACCCCTACTGGGCTGACCCCCTCCTTGGGTTGGCTCCCTGCCGGACGCAGCTTCCTGAGGACGGGGTCTTGCACCAAGGGAGCAGAGCGGATTCCCCGCGCTGGGAAACGCTGCTTCGGAGCCTCAGAGGACCCTCGTCGGACGGGGCTGAGCCGTCCCAATGCATTCTTCCTTCCTGTGTGTTCAGACCTTTTTTATTTTCCATTTCCAGCACTTATTGTCATAAAACTCCGGATAAAGTCAACCACGCGGTCCTGGCTGTTGGGTACGGAGAACAGAATGGGATACCCTACTGGATCGTGAAGAACTCTTGGGGTCCCTATTGGGGGATGAACGGGTAAGCATCATCCGGTCCCGTGTGCAGGGAGGGGCATCATTGCTCAGGCCGGGGGGCCTAGGGGGTCTCCTCTCCCTCAGGTACATGGCGTCTCAGCCAGGGCTGGTCAGCCGGGCCCCAGTGCAGGCCCGGGGGAGGAGCCCAAGGCTGAACCCCACACCCGAGAGGCCCCCGTGCAACCCTCTCCTGTCCTGGGCCCCACATCCCAGTGATTCTGTGTCGGGACGTTGTCCCAGTAGGATCTGGGGGCAGGACCCAGCCGGCGGCCGGGAGGGCGGGTCGGGAGAAATGCAGGCTGCAAGCTTACGGCTGACGCTTCACAGCCTCTCCCAGGGAACCGGGGGCCCCAGGTGCACACCCCGCAGGGGCTGTGTCGTGTCTGCCGTCAGACCCCGTGTCCTCGGGGGGCCTGTGACGAGTCCATCACTGAGTGAGGGCCTCGTGGGGGCTGAGGAGCCCCGGTAAATTGTGAGGACAGCAAGAGTGGACACAGTACGGCAGCCAGAGGGACGGAAGGGAAAGTTGTCCAGAGTCAGGTCAGCGGTTTCCTGGCGGTAAGCCAGGCCCTCACCCCTGGAGTCAGATCTCGGGGAATGGCAGAACAGTCCGGAAAGGGCAGTGGTGAGGAAGCCCCAGCCAGGCCCCAGCTTGCTCTGTCCACCCAGGTACTTCCTCATCGAGCGTGGGAAGAACATGTGCGGCCTGGCAGCCTGCGCCTCCTACCCCATCCCCCTGGTGTGAGTGGGGGTGCCACGGCGGCCCGCCGGCGAGCAAGGGCAGAGCGGGCCGGTGGTGGAAGGCCTGCTCTGCAGGAAGGGGGGCCCGCGGCCCCGTGCCGGGCCTGGAGGCCGTGAGAAAATGAGGAAGAAGAGTCCTCCCCGCCCGCCCCGGAGCAACAGGCCTACCCGTGTTTTCCGAGGTGAAGGAGGCCACCAGCTGTGTGCCTTAAACATGCCTTTAACTGACTCGAGAATACTCTTTATTTCCCACAGCACCCCGACTGTCTTTTCTGTGATCTTTACCCAATAAACATGTGGTGAGCTCCTCCCCGGGCCAGGCCTGTGTGTGTGCGGGGCCCTCCCGGGACACAGGCCTGGTCCATCCTGCAGGCTCCCGTCCCCTGGGGGGCAGGGGGGCATCCAGGGGCTGCCTGGCTGGGAGGATGGTGTGGGCCCAGGGGTCACTGTCCACCCCGCGAGATGCCCAGGAGGAGGAGCAGGCTCAAGTCGAGACCTTGGCGGGTTGTGCCCCATGGGTGGGGGAGGAGGAAACATGCCAGGCTTGTCAGAGTCAGGATTCAGACCCGGTCATCAGCCTGGAAGCCTGGCCTCCGTCCCCACACACCGGCCCTCCTGCCAGGACTGCCCACCCCATCCTCACCAACCCCTCCCCTGAACATGCCTGATGCTCCTGCCAACTCCACGCCATCCCTTCCCTCTTGAGAACTCAGGGTTCTCCGTTCAGAAGGTGGCCGCAGGATTGCTGCCACGTCCTGTGGCATCTGGGCTCCGGGAGCAGGGTCCACGGGCTGAGCTGCGGCTCTGCTCTTCGTCCTGCGGTTCACGGTTCCCTTAAGGTGAAGGCTCTTGTGTCATTTGGGCCACCTGGACAGCTAAAGGCTTGAGAACATTTGAGAAAAAAAAAAATGTAGTTTTTGGTAAGGTTCATTTAGAAAATAACTGGGGCGCCTGGGTGGCTCAGTCGGTTGAGCAACAGCCTTCGGCTCAGGTCATGATCCTGGAGTCCCGGGATCGAGTCCCGCATCGGGCTCCCTGCTGAGCGGGGAGTCTGCTTCTCCCTCCGACCCTCCCCCCTCTCGTGCTCTCTGTCTCTCATTCTCTCTCAAATAAATAAATAAAATCTTTAAGAAAATAACTGTATGGTTTTCATCTATTAGAAAATTCCAGTAACATGAGATGCTGCAACAACAAGACAGAGTTGTGAAACACAAGTGTATTTCTTTGATACAGTACAGTCCTAGACCCATGGTCAGTGGCATTAAAGGCAGACATGTGACAAATAGGCCCAATACCAGCACTGTTGCTTAACATCAATCTGGAAGATCTGGCCACTGCAATAAGGGAAAAAAACCAAATGAATGTCTGCAGACAGTATGACAATGTGGCTTAAAAACATCCAAGAGAGTCTACATAAAAACCCAGAACTAATAAACAGTTCAGAAAGTGGCTGGTTACCAGACACAGAAGACACAGAAAGTCAACAAAACCCAAAAGAAAAACATGTCCATGACTGCAACGAAACTAGTGGCCAGAAGTCACCATCAGAAAAATACCAGAAGTCTACATACTTAGAAAATGACACAATTATTAAAAGCAAAAGCAAGATTTGACCATATTGAGCAGCACGCCATACCCTTGAGTGGGAAGGTCAACACAAGGTAGTTGACTCTTGCCCAAAATAAAAGCACGGGTTTGGTACATTCCCAAATAAAATGTGAATAAAATTGTCTGATACTTTTTATTTTTGAGGGAAAACAAGGCCAAAATGGTTAAGAAGATCTTATAAGTGATAGGAATGGATGTGAGTGCTTGAAAGTGTCCCCATCTAAGAACAGGTAGATCAATGACCCCAAGTCCACAAAATGAGAATTCAGGACATAAGCAGCAGGTGAACAAATTAATCTTTACTAAATAAAAGGTGCTAGGAAATTGGGCAACTATTTGGAACAACAATTTAACCTAAATCTTCACCCACACTTTTTAAAATAAACTTTTTAAATTTTGTAAACATTTCAGATTTACAGAATTATTATGAAGACAGTACTGAGAGTTTCCATATATCTCACACCCAGTTCTCTCTGTTACTGTCTTGGTATGGAGTACGGTACATTTATCAAAATTAATGAACCAATACAGAACACTCATTAATCCTATTCTCATGAAGTTACTCATTTTTTTTTTGAAAAATATTCTGGAGGAGATTTCAGAGAAATACAAATTACCACAAGAAATCAAATAGCCATTTCAAAATTTCCACACTCATTACAGACTGTGGGCTTAGGCGTGGCCCCAAACTCTGGGTCTCGGGGCAGACGGCCCCCCGAAGAACGCGGGCTGTGTGCTGCCCTTGAACCCAGAGGTGATGATGGATCTCCTGTAAAAGGGGCCGCCAAGGTCAATTCCCAGCCTTTCAGTGACCAAACACCTACCAGGGTCAGCCATGTGCAGCTCCCCTGTTGTGCCAGGCACAGGGGGCAGGGCGGGGCACGATCATGCGAGGATGCTCTCGGCGTCCTGCATGGGTATGACTGCTGTGAAACAGGAAGAATGGCCTATCATTTTTCGGGGTCACCATCACCCACCCCTCTGTAACAGGCCTGGCGCCAGGCCCTGGAGGTCTGAGTTCATGGGACACCTCTTTGGCACCAAGGAGCTCCCATGCTGGGGGGGAAGACAACAAAGACAGACGTAAAACCAACCAAACAAGACCAGTGAAAGGGCGAAAGTTCAAGACATTACAAGAAAAAACTCCAGAGCAATGGTCTTTATTGCTGTAGATGCAAAAATCCTCAGCAAGATACTGAATGCAAACCAAATCCAGCAACATATGAAAAGGATTCGGTATCATGAGCAAGTGTGGTTTATCCCAGCAATAAATGGTTGGCTCGCCATATGGAAATCAATAAAATACACCACATCGATAAAGGACAGAAACTGCATAATCCTCTCTATAGACAGAAAAAGCATTTTGAAAAAATCCAATACCCTTTTCCTGACAAAGGCACTCAACAAACTCATTATGGAAGGGAAACTTCCTCACCCCGACAGGGGCATCTATGAAAAACCCACAGCTAACGTCACACTTAATACTGAAAGATGAACGCTTTCCCTCCTAAGATCAGACATAAGACAAGGATGTGCGTCCTCCCCACTCTCTTCTACCTTTAAGGGAGGTTCTAGCCAGAGCAGTTAGGCAAGAGGGGGATGTCACAGCACCAAACTGGAGAGGAGGGGGTGTCTCTATTTGCAATGACATGATCCCGTATGCAGAAAATCCTGAGGAACACACACACACAACCCAAAAACACTATTGGTGTCAGTCAGTGATTTTGGCAGTGTTTCAGGATACAAGATAAATATACAAAACCAACTGTATTTCTATACACCAGCAACAGACAACCCAAGTTACAACAGAACCGGCAAGAACAAAAAACTTAGGAAGAATTTAACAAAAGACTTTTATGCTGGAAACTATAAAATGTTATCAAAAGAAATTAAGATCTAAATAAGTGGAACATCATCCCATGTTCGTGGGTTACAATTAATATTGTAAGATGACAATACTCCCCAAATTGATCTACAAACAAAATCCCTCCTAGAACCCCAGCTGGCTTCTTTGCAGAAGTAGACAAGCTGATCCTAGAACTCATATGGAAATCAGGGCCAGAGTAGCCAAAACAATCTTGAAAAGGAAGAACAAAGCTGGAGGACTCACACTTCCCCCTCAAGACTCACTACAAAGCTACGGTGGTGAAGAGATGGTGGTACAGACATAAGCGCAGACATACAGATCAGTGGGATGGAACTGAAGAGTCTAGAAGGAATCTTCCATTTGTGGTTGATTTTCAACAAAAACACCAAGACAATTCAATGGGGAAAGAATCTTTTTTTTTTTTTTTTTTGAGCAAATGGTCCTGGGACAGCTGGACGTCCACATGCAGAAGAATGAAGTTGGACCCTTGCCTCACACCATTTACAGGAATTAACTCAAAATGCATCACCGACCTAAATGTGGAAGCTAACACTATAAAACTCATAGAAGGGGCAAATCCTCAGGAGGCTAATTTGGCAAGTTTCTTAGATATAACACCAAACACAGAGGTGACAGTGACAGCAACCACAAAAAAATAAACTGGACTTCATTAGAATTAAAAACTTTTGTGCTTCGAGCGCCTGGGTGGCTCAGCTTGGTGAAGTGTCTGCCTTCGGCTCAGGTCATGATCCCGGGGTCCTGGGATCGAGTCCCGCATCGGGCTCCCTGCTCAGTGGGGAGTCTGCTTCTCCCTCTGACCCTCCCCCGGCTCGTGCTCTCACTCTCTCTCTCTCAAATAAATAAATAAAATCTTAAAAAAAAACAAAACTTTTGTGCTTCAAAGGACCCTGTGAAGAAAGTGATAAGAGAACCCACAGAATGAAAGAAAACATTTGTGGATCATAGTGATCTAGTATTTGGAACAGATAGAGAAATGCATTTCAACAGTAAGAACACATCTAACCCAATTTAAAACTGGACAAAAGATTTCGGTAGACATCCCTCCAAAGAAGATAAGCAAGTGACCCACGAGCACACGGGACAGACAACCAACATCACCCGCTGTCCGGGAGATGCACACGGGTGCTAGGAGGGCTGTGGCCAGAGAGACGGGCAGCGGTGAGAGCTGGTGAGGACGCGCAGGGCTTGCGAGCCTCACGCACCTGCTGGTGACCAAACGGTGCTGGAAGTCACTCTGAAACCAGCGGGGCAGTTCCTTAAAAAGGTAAAAATCATCTCACCGTGTGACCCCGCAATTCCCCTCCTATGACAACTGAGAACATGTCCACCCAGAAGTGTGCACACGCACAGAGTAGCACCGTTCATAACTGCCAAAATGTGGAAACAAGCCACGTGTCCACCTCCTCAAACACACAGATAAACGAAATGAGGTCTGTCCGTCCAACGGAATATTATTGGAAGTAAAGAACACCAACACCTGCCACAACAGGGTAAATTCTGGAAACATTGTGCTCAGCCAAAGGAGCCAAACACAAAAGACCACGTATTGTATATTCCATCCATGTGAAATGTCTAAAACAGGCAAATCCACCAAAATGAAAAGGAGACTGGCAGCTGCCAGGGGCTGGCGGGTGGGAGGGGGTGAATGCTTACGGGTCTGGGCTTTCTTTTTTGGGGGTCTTGAAAATGTTCTGGAATTAGATCGTGGTGATGTTTGCACAACTTTGTGCGTCTACTGAAATTCATTGCATTGTATACATGAAAAGGGGGAATTTTATGGTATGTGAATGGTGTCTGAAAAACAAGTGCAGGGA